GAAATTTCTAAGGGAAAAATTGACTTTTCGAGTCATTTAAGTTAATTGTCATTGAAAAATTTACACTTTACACACCCACCTATACGTTTCTCTGCATTTTACTCACTCAACTTTTTTTTATTTACACTTTGCCTTAGAAATGACCGGACGATGACCGAAAATTGATCAAGTACAATTATTTAGAATGTTATATAGATAAAGTGTCACGAAAAAAAATTTGAGTGGGTAAAGTGTAAAAAAGCGTATAATTAAGTGGGTTAAGTGTAGTTTTCTCTAAATAATTTATTAGGCTTACATCATCCATTTGCATCTCTTTTGATATGTGTTTTTTATAATTATTAAGTGTAGTTTTCTCTAAATAATTTATTAGGCTTACATCATCCATTTGCATCTCTTTTGATATGTGTTTTTTAGCAACTTTAAACCTGTCAAAGAGGAAGAAAAGTACTGGCAGCAGAAATCAAGAGTGAAATGGATTGCTGAGGGGGATAAAAACTCAAAATATTTCCATGCCAGCACCTTGCAAAGAAGGAAAACCAATTCCCTGACTAGGCTAATCAATGAAGACAATTCCATTTGTGTCACCTCTTCTGACATCACTCAATGCATTGAGAATTTCTACAAGCTGCTGTTTACCTCTGATCAGACCCAAGCACCCAATGGAATGCTCTTCAATCTTCCAGCTGTCATTACTGAAGATATGAATCAAAACCTCTTGGCAAAAGTGGAACTAGATGAAGTCAAAGATGCCTTATTCCAAATCAATCCTAATAGAGCCCCAGGTATGGATGGCATGACCTCTGCTTTCTTTCAATCTTTCTGGGATATTATTCATGTTGATCTTTTTAATCTTGTTTCTAGCTTCTTTGAATCTGGCCAAATGCTTAAAAGCTTAAATCATACACTGGTCACTCTTATCCCTAAAATTCAAAGACCAGACAGAATTGCCCATTTTAGACCCATCAGTCTTTGTGGTGTCTCATACAAAGTCATTGCTAAAATTCTTGCCTCAAGACTGAAACCTTATATTCCCCTGTGCATCAGTGAAACCCAATCTGCCTTTGTTGAAGATAGGCAAATTCTTGACAATGTCATTATAGCTCATGAAGCCCTTCACTTTCTTAACAGACACTCCAAAGGTAAAATCAGTTATATGGCCATTAAGTTAGACATGAGCAAAGCCTTTGACAGGGTAGAGTGGTCTTGCATTGAGCTTAGTTTACTTAAATTGGGTTTCCATACTACAGTTGTCAAATGGTTAATGGCATGCATCACCTCTCCTTCATTCTCTTTTAATGTGAATGGTGAAGCCAAAGGATATGTTACCCCTTCAAGAGGCATTAGACAAGGGGACCCACTGTCCCCTTATATCTTCATCATCATCTCTGAAATTCTGTCAAATCTGATTAAAAAAGAAACTGCAAGTGATCAGTACAAAGGAATGAAGCTCAGCAGAAATGGCCCCCTCTTAACCCACTTACTCTTTGCTGATGATACACTCCTCTTTACCCAAGCTGAACCTCATCAAGCTACACTTATTCTGAATATTCTCCACTGCTATAACCAGATTACAGGCCAAAAAATCAATCTCCAAAAATCCTCCATTTTCTTCAGTAAAAACACCACCACAACCTCTAAACAAACCATTAGCCAAATTCTCCAGGGCATCCAAATTCAATCCTCTACCAGATATTTGGGTCTTCCCCTGGGTTTGGGGAAATCCAAAGTTGAAACCTTCTCATATATTCTGGAGAGTGTCAATAAGAGAATTTGCAACTGGAAAAACAATTTTCTCTCCCTTGCAGGTAAGGAAATCTTATTGACAGCAGTCCTCCAAGCTATGCCTGTATATGCAATGTCAACATTTCTCATTCCAAAGACCCTATGCCTGAAAATGACACAAATCTTTGCTG